TCAGTGCTCCTCAGCAGTGGGTTCTGCACTGGTTGCAGCGGCTTTTTGGCTTGCTTCCTCCTGCAAAACAAACCAAAATTCATTGAAACCTTTGCCACACAGGATTTTCTATGTTGCTGTAGATTCAATTCTTATAGTTATTCCCCAAGCTACATTCAAAAGTAAGATTTCCATGCAATACCATGGAATACTGGGGGTTTCATATGCTCGAAACCATTCTTGCAAGCACCTCGTTTGAACTATAAGAAAATGCTGTATATTGAATATTTAATCCTCCCTGCTCCACACATCAGTTTAAGATGCTTTCCCCAGTTTTTCCTCACCTCATAATAAATATATGTTACTGCTGAACAAGGTCAGAGGGATGCATCAGAAAACCATGGCTGTATTTCAGTACCGAGAAGTAATTTGAAAGTGTATTTATATTTAGTACAGACAAGCAAATCAAGCTCTGGGAAACCAAAAAACTACAAAAATCTATGACTTAAAATGTCCAAAATAGTTAAATAACTGTGTACAGTCCTGCAGTGTGAGGTGTATGGAAAGAACCAATCCTGCAAAGTAGAAGGGGAACAGACTAAAGGGAACTCAATTTTAATTTAGTACTCTTATGAGTCGTTTATTCTGGGTGTTATCCCTTTGCCATACAAGTCGTATTTAATACAGTTGAACTACCTAAGTACTGGCTTTTTCTTGGTCATTTATCCTATCCAAACACTGACTAATCTTCTGTCTGCAATCTGGGGGACAAGAATAATTAATGAGATGATTTGGGATCATTTATGAACTGACAAAAGACTGAAGATGCCCTAGCTGGACTTTGAAATGTGAACATCAATGTGACCCATTAAGCTCTTGTTACTAACTCGTAAACTTATTTAATAGCAAAATTCTCCCAATTCTAATATAAGTACTAAAAGAAATGGTTAAATATAGAGCAGAATTATAAGAAAGGTCTCCAAAATATTGTTATATTAAGAATATACTAATGTAGGCTGTTGTCAAGCATGTTTCCTGCCTGACTCTGCAGCACACGGTAGTTACAGTCTTCAGTTCTTTTATTAACACACAAGAAAATCCCTGACTTAATGACAGATAACTACTGGTGACCATGACAGACCAAGCCGAGATTAAACAAACAACATATTCCTGTTTAAAGAAGTTTAAGTGGTAGGAATGACATTTTGGATAAAAGTTTGGTTTCAGAATAAAATCCACTTACCACTTGGAAAAGAAGAGCAAAACCACAGCTTTTCACATGCACACTGGAACCTCGAGGTCTTCAAAACCCCTACATCCAAAATAACCCTAAGCATATCTGCAAACAGCTCAGAACCATACAGGAAATAGTTTGCTTATATTAATAATTTTGTATTATTAATAATGTAGCCAAACCAAATTAAAAAAAACCCAACAACCCTATTTTGTATTTGCTGCATGATTACAGCAGCCCACTGAACGCTGATCTCAAATTAATTGCAAAGTTTTCAATGCCACGTGGGCGCTGCACTCACATTTCACGATGTGCAAGGTCTTCCTGCGATTCCGGTGTCTCCGTCCTGACGATTTCCGTGGTGTGAAGGGCTGTAACGGTGCTCCACTGCTGCAACAACATGCTAAAGCTAAACCCAAGATCAGACTCACCAGCCATGGAAATTGTAAGTATATCATAATACACACGTAACACCAAAAAAATATACAGGTAAGATGAAGTAAACTTCTTATCCCATTTTTAATACTTAGTCTTCATATATATAGTTAAATGGAACAGCTGATCAATCCCAGGACAAGTATTCAAGGGGTTTTTTGCTTAAATGCGTTGAAAGATGTATTTTAGACACCTCAGAAATAGACTCAAGTCGACCAGATGAGAATCTCAATTTCAAACTGTCCTGAAGATTATTCTATTAAAGTTTTCACTTAGCAGAAGCACACGTAAAACACCTCCCCAACACCACACTTCACAGATATCTCCAGTTCTGCACATGGAACCTTGTAGCAGAAACGGGTACAAAATCAATCTCTCACAAAAATCTTCTTTACATGTTACTTTCTGCAGTGCGAGTGTCATGGAAAAAACCAAACAGCTCTATCTGAGGTCTGGAGCTCGGCTCCTGTCTGGTACCCGACCCACAAACCCACTGGAGAAATCCCACCCTGTGTCTCCACTCCTGCCACCCCCACCCACCCCGACACTTCAGAGCGAAGGGGACATCGCGTTCACGGCTGTGTGAGAAAACCAGAAAGTGAGGGGTTTTGAGTGTTCTGACACTGCCTCTAGAGATGGGTTTAGAAGGTTTATGGGGGAAAAAAGCAAAAGGAATGGAAAATTCAAGTCCTGAGAACTCATTCCTGTTACTCTTACTTTATACAACAGCTCCAAACCATTTGCCGTAGCAGGTGAAAACTCCCGAGATCACCAGTTTCTACTCTCACCTCTCCAGTCTATGGAGAGAAAACCCAGATTTATTGTTTCTGCACACTCAGCCCTTCCAGGCAGCATTGAGCTGCAGGAAGGTTTTTCAAAGGCAGTATTTTTAAAACTCAGATTATTCTTGCTTGAACTCTTACTGTACTGGAGAGCGCGATGAAAACGAGACAAAGACACATCAACCACAAATGCGAACAGCACACGTGAACACACACGGACTGATGGATGAAAGTCTGAGAAAAATAAACTGTGTTTAAAAGTACTTTAAAGATGTACATTCTTGTATTTTATGTGTAAGAAACTAGTAAGAAATCAAGAGAGGTCGAAGATAGATCTACTTTCGTGCTACCCTATACGGGAAAGAAATTCTCCGGCTCAGGCAGCGCTACAAAAGGCCCACAGATCACAGGGCTCAGGCACATCCTCACAAAATTCAGTGGAAAAAAGAAAAATTTAGGAAAAGTCTATAGTTTGAGAATGCAAATTTCACTTCTGTACAACCAATACGGATTAGTTCTGAAGCTTCAACACCCAGCTTGTTTCTATACTCGAGGCAGCTTTGTCTTTCCAAACACTGAAGAGCCCCACAAAATAAATTCTCTTGGTCTTTCCAACATTCAGTCACTAACTGAATACACAGATCAAAAAAACCCCACTAGCCAGATTCAAGGGGCTGAAGATTGAGGAAATAAATCCTTAGAGATGCTGTTGAATTACTCTCCAATTTTCTGAAAGCCTTTTGGTCCAACTCCTACAGGCAGGGTCAGGGGAAAGAAGCTCTTGCCATAAAGTTACCGCAGCCACTCCAGGTGAAGCTCTCTAAGAGCACAGCTAAACACAGAATAGCACATCTTTAAAGGGTATTAGTTCTTGGAGGGGATGAAGTGTCACAACAAAGGGACACGTGAAATAAAAAGGAAATCAGTTAATGGTTTTTATTAAATTTCAGTGTTTCATAAAATAAATATGGTATATAATATCAAACAGTGAGAAATAAAGCACAAGCATGAAAAGCATGGTAACAAAAGTTACACTCATGACGGTGTTTAATACTTAGCACTTTAGAAACCATAAAGCCTTTAATTATTTACAAGCAGCAAACTATCTAACAGAATTTACAAAGTTGCAGCAGCCTGGTCAGGGAGTGCTGGAAGGGGAAAAAATGGAGAGACCGCAATGGAAGACTTCACTCTGCCCTACCTCACTGACGCTTTATTACGTACCCTATTGCCCCTTATGTACACAGCTATTTGCAGCTTCTCTTATTCTCTGAGTTCAATAATTACACTGTATTGTATTTCAGAGCTTCTCTCTAGGATGGTGCAGTGCCTTGTACACTTAAGAGATACATCATCTTCAAGTAACACTTCAAATAAAAGTAAACATGTGCAAACCAA